TACTCACATTCTTCGTTCTCTTAAGCAACCCAAAATCATCATCCTCTAGAGCAGCCGAAAAAACGATGACTCCGCATATTCACGTTCACAAAAACATCCAAATAGCCCAATCCCATTGCGAAGGAACACTTCACCCGGAACTTTGTGTTTCCACTCTCTCCTCATTCCCAAATCTCCACCGTAAATCCATTGCAGAGATCATCTCTTCCACTGTTAAAATCGCAGTGGGTGGGGTCAGAGCCTCCGCCCACAACTGCAGCGACCTTCGTCGACATGTACCCAAACTGGAACCTATTGAAAAACGAGCACTCCAAGACTATGTTGAACTATTGGGAGAAACTATTGCTGAGCTCAGAACAGCCCTCACTGATCTTTCCCCTAAGAAATCTGCTTCCAAGCACTACAATGACATCCAAACACTTCTCAGTGCCGCAATGACCAATGAGGATACTTGCCTAGATGGACTCTTCTACAGTACAAAGAATAACTTAACCCGTTACGTAGAGGACAATCTGCATACCATCGCTCACCACGTCAGCAACTCCCTCGCCATGCTCAACAAGATTAAGAGGACATCAGTATCTTCTTCTGAAGAAGTGTTTCCCGAGTACGGGGCTATGAAGAATGGGTTCCCGAAATGGCTGAAGAGGCGGGAGAGAGCACTTCTGCAAGTTCCAGTGAATGAGACCAAGTTCGATTTGGCGGTGGCAAAGGATGGCAGTGGTAATTTCACGACTATTAACGAGGCCTTAAGTGCAGCATCCAACTCCACTAACACAAGATTCGTGATCTACATTAAGGAGGGATCTTACTATGAATACGTGGAGGTAGACAAGAAGAAAACCATGATAATGTTTGTCGGAGATGGCGTCGGAAAGACAAAGATAAAGGGTAACCGGAATCATGTTGATGGATGGACTACTTTCCGATCTGCCACTGTTGGTAAATTTTTTGTGTATATCTATACTATGCACGAAGACCCATCTTTTTTACCCTTTAAAAATAAATTTTATGTTGGATAGAATTGTCATTTGAATTAAATTCCTAATATTTAAGACTTTAAAATAACTAAAATTTTACTTATTAATATAAACAGTCGCCTGACCCGGGCTCAAGAAATCCCTCGATAATGCTCAAGAAATCCCTCGAAAATGCCCAAGACCCGGGCTCAAAATGTCCAATAATGATAAAAATCACGAACCCTTGCTTTTAAGTGTTCTGCCTAGCATTGTCGCTTCTTCAGTCACATTAGCCACTTTTGCAGCACCGCTTTTGTGGCCCGGGCCTCGCATCTGCGGAGGCCACTAAGTCGCCCAACCTCCGGGCGCGCTTGTGCGCAACAAAACCCGCTTCTGCGGACCAGCCTCAAACTCCAGCGTCCGCTTCTGTGACCCTCCAAGTGCAGATGAGAGTCCGCACCTGCGGAACACCCTCCGCATCTGCGCTCCATATCCCTCCAGTCCAAACCTTTGCATCTGTGCAACACTGCTCGCACCTACAAGCTCGCACCTGCGATCAAAGCTCTGCAGGTGCGGTTACACCAACAGAGTCCTACTTCAGCAATGCACCAGGTCCTTTTTTTCGATCTGTTAGCCATCCTTAATCCACCTGAGACCCCCGGGACCTCAAACAAACATACCAACAAGTCCTAAAATATCATACAATCTTAGTCAAGCCTTTAAATCACATCAAACAATGCTAAAAATACAAATCGTGCATCTATTCAAGCCTAATGAACTTTAAAACTTCAAACTTTAACATCCGGTGCCGAAACCTATCAAATCAAGTCTGATTGATCTCAAATTTTGCACACAAGTCATAATTGACATTACGGACCTAATCCAACTTTCATAATTGACATTATTGACATGTGTCCCATTTCATTCCAAAACTAAAAACAAAACGTCCTGGCAAGTCAAAAAATCCAAAAATTAAATAGAGGAAGCAATAATTAGGGGTTCGGGGCTAATACTCTTAAAATGACTGGTCGGGTCGTTACAGGGCGCAACGGCCGCTCTGATGATTGATGACGTTCCCTATTGGGTCGCGGAGCTGCGAGGTCTCTTTTGGTATCATTTATTCAATTTTTCTTATTTCAGCATGAACTGAGGCCAGTCTATGAGTTGGTCCATTGAGGTCGTCCTCATCTGCTCGGATCTCGGCACAATACGCGTTGTATATTTCATCCCAAGTGGTTGGGGACTACTTCATCAGTCGACTTAAAAGCTTTCTAGTCGCCCTCGAACCGTCCCTGCGCAGCCCATTCTGGAAAGATGCAACTGCCATCCCTTCTGACACGTTCGGCAGGGTCATCCTTATTTTGTTGAACCGGGCGAGGAAGTCCCTCAATCCCTATCTCGAAGACTGTTTAATAGCAAATATGTCATTCACTCTTACCTTGGCCTTCTTAGCTCCAGCATGGGCCGTTACGAACTTATCGGCCATCTCTTCGAAAGTTTCAATGGAGCGCGCAAGTAGTTGTGAATACCATGTTAACGCTCCTCCTGTGAGGGTTTCACCAAATTATTTCAACAAAATAGAGGATACTTATTCTTTAACGAGATCATTGCCTTTCACGACGGTGATGTAGTGAGTCACGTGATCTTTAGAGTCAGTCGTGCCATCATATTTTTTAAAGGTTTTGGTATGGCATGTGGGGATGAATCATCACTGTACGGCTGTTCGACAAACCGACCGACGTCTCTCTTTGGCAACAGTTTGGGCGCGCCCGGTATTTTATCGACCTTTTCCTGGTGTTCTTTTATTTGATCTCGAAGTACCTTGTTCTCGTTCTCCGTTTCCTTCATCCTTTTCAAAATAGTTGCAAGAGCGTTATCACCTGCATTATCATTGACGTTGTGAGTAATACCTGTTGTTGGAGATGGAGGGAGTTGGTTGCACTGTTCGTCCGCCGGTTGTACAGTGCAAATCCTTGCATTTTTTGTAGCTGCGTCCTGGGCGGGCTTGTTAAGGACGCCGTGTCGGTTAGCCATGCTTCGAGGAGCTTTTTTTTACAGCTGGGGGCATCTCTTCCCCTATAGATGTGGAGGCTCCCTTACCAAGAGATT